AACTCACAGCAACCTCCAACTCTTGGGCTTAAGTGATCCTCAGCCTCTCCCAAGTAGCTAGACTACAGGCACCCGCCACAACACTGGGCTATTTTTAGAGGCGGGGGTCTTGCTCTTGTTCAGGCTGGTCTTGAACCTGTGAACTTAGGCAATCCACCTGCCTCGGCCTTCCAGAGTGCTAGGATCTAATTTTTTAAAACACAAATCAAAAATGGAAAAATATGAGAATTCTATGCAGAAACAATTAAGGGTCTATTTTACTTTTTTAACTTCATCTCAGTCAATATTTTTTTTTTGAAACATGGAAACTATCTTAGCAAATCTAGGGCATTAAAAATTGAGGGGACCAAGATATTGTTATTGGAGAGGAGATAAATAAAAGATAAATAAATTTTGTTAGAGATTAACAATAGAACTGTGAGAGGCCAAGGTGGGTGGACTGCCTGAGTTCACAGGTTCAAGACCAGCCTCAGCAAGAGCAAGACCCCATCTCTAAAACTAGCCAGACGTCATGGTAGGCACCTGTAATCTCAGCTACTCAGGAGGCTGAGACAAGAGAATTGCTTGAGCCCTTGAGTTTGAAGTTGCTGTGAGGTGGGATAAGTGAGACTGTCTCAAAGCAAAAAACAAAAAACACTTCAGGAGAAAAAACTATTAGCCTGGTTGATAAAAGAATGAATACAACAAATAAGTATATACAGGTAACATTTTTTAATTACTTTATGGGGGCTCAGCGTCTGTGGCTCAAACGCCTAAGGCGCCAGCCACATACACCTGAGCTGCTGGGTTCGAATCCAGCCTGGGCCGCCAAACAACAATGATGGCTGCAACCAAAAAATAGCCAGGCATTGTGGTGGGCGCCTATAGTCCCAGCTACTTGGGAGGCTGAGACAAAAGAATCACTTGAGCCCAGGAGTTGGAGGTTGCTGTGAGCTGTGATGCCATAGCACTCTACCCAGGGCAACAGCTTAAGGCTCTGTCTCAAAAAAATAATTTAAAAAAAAAATTATTACTTTATGGGACAAAAGTCTTCTTCTGGGCTTAGTGCCTATAGCATAGTGGTTATGGCACCAGCCACATACACCAAGGCTGGTGGGTTTGAACTTGGCTTGGGCCAGCTAAACAACAATGACAACTACAACAAAAAAT